TTATTTATCATATTTTATTTACTATTACTTTATTTTGTATAAATACTCTGTATCTTTGACCTGCTAAATGGCAGAGTTAATATCAATTCTCTAATAAAACAATAATATTTATCTCTAAACCTTATCTTTACTCGTAAAACACTTCATTCTTTTTTAAATCTATATCAATAAAGACGATCTGACCCTTCAATTTAACTATTTGTATTTATTTCTTCCATAGTTTAGACGTACTTAAACTCCCTGCTAGCAAATAATCTTTGTTAATTTAATGACGAACAGTTTAAGTTTAACAACGCTAAAAAATTTAACTACAGATTCAAAGCTTTATGCTATATTGTCAGGCTGGTATGCTACAAAAAGTCTATTTACATTTATAATGAAGAGATAATGGTAAATATTTATTATTAATTTACAATGAAATCAAACTTTCTTAATTAAATTATATAACTGACTTTCAATATTATTTAGATATGATATCAATAGTATGCCATGACAAAAATTTTATTGATATTTCGCTTTACAAACAATGGGATGCCAAAAAAATTAAGAGTAAAGGTCTATCGAAAAGTTAGATGAAAATCATCTATTCTTTCAGGACCTATATAGAGCATATGCTGATTATTTATATTCAAGTGCTGCAATAATGAACAAGAAAATAGAATTTTATAGTTCAATTGCGTACGCCATTCTCAAAAGTAATCAAGAACCTATACAATTTAAACTACGAATTGGTGATGTTGTTGAACTAAATGAAGAATCTGAAGGTATTGCATATGCAAGGATCAATTTAATTATTCGGCATTAAGCAAACAATGGTCACTATTATGCTTTTTTTATTTAATTGGTTTCAGGTGACAGACTACATTGATACTGTATCAGAATGCTTATTTTACGATATCCAAAAGTCTGAAGTGTTGCGTTGGTATCGAATCTTTCCAATTAATTTTATCGATCATATATCTTATGTTCATTTTATACATAATTGTACAAATACATGCAGCAATATTGAGCATGATAAAACTAATCGAAATTATATTTTAAACGAATTTTATTACAAAGCAATATAGATGGATGAAATATTAAAAGATAGGAAATTTCAAACGTTTCGATTTAGGATTATTTATTAGATATTAGAAATCCAATTTTCATGTTATTGGAAAGAAAATCTTGATATATAATTTGTAAGATATATTCTATTTAAAATTAATATATTTTGATAATAAAAATATTAAATTTACATTTGTTTTATATTGTAAACGTATTTTAGCTATATTTATATATATATATTAAACATATTTTTAATGTATGATTATTACATTATTATTATATGAATTTGGTATGTTTTTAACATATTTTTGGTATATGGAAAAAATATAGTTATAATAAACTTAACATAAATACATTTGCCATATACCTGATATATGTTAAAAATATTTTTACTATATTTTTTCAAATTGATAAGTTTCAGTAAAGTAACTTTAAATAATATAACATCATCATGATTTTTTAATATGAAATTGTATTATATGTTAATGCTTTTATTTATTAAATAAATCTAAGGAGAAAATAATTGCACAAGATGAAGGATTTTTTTATTTTTGTTTTGCAAATTATTAATTTAATTAACCTGAATTGCAAAACACGCTTAATTTGTTTTCAATTTTCATCTTAGACTATTTGTCCATTAATAAGAGTCCGTCACAAATATAATCAACATGAGCATGAAAAGGTGAATTACGGTGGCATAATTTCGTCGATGGCAAATGTTTCGACGACGTAGATATCTTTTTACCACATTCACAATAGTGATGTTATTAGCTTTAACTTCATGTGTATCATGAGGATTATTCAAACTCGTAGTTAAAGGACCTGTTAGCTCTTAAACATATAAACTATTTTTTCATGTTACGCATGGTTTCACAATTCTGCCAGATAATATACTTCTCAAGAAGTTATAAATTTAATTGAACTAATTTTCTTACGAGGAATAATTAATGGACCAATTGATTTTTATTTTTGGTAGTCTTATCTCAGCGTTTATAGGTGAAACAGTTTTTTGCAATGATTATGAAATGATGATACATTCTGTGTATCTGTATAGCGTATTGCATGTTAAAGTTCGTGTTAAGGAATCCTTCTAATCAAGGATAGGTAAGTTGTTAATCTTGTTTGTACTATTTAAAGAAAAGCGAGGAACTTCAATTAAGCGAACTTCCATAATACGATCATGCTTACGTGGTTACTATGCAAAATTATTGATTCTTGGTATGATTATTTATTATTCGTTGCGTTGATGGCTTTAATTTCATACATAATTTTCCATATAAAATTTTATTTCGATCACGGGTTTGTGGCAAGACAAAATGTGAAGTTGAATAAATTCTTTTCAGGTTGATAAATCATCGTGAGATGACACAACTGTCGAACTTTCACAGCACGGTATTGAAATAAATAATTACTTCTTATTTTACCGTAATGCCAGTTCATGTATGAAAGGCCGTTAATCTAGGTTTTCGTGATCGTGCTTGTCGATGACAGGGGTCACGTGTATGTCGTTACAAAAAGTATGTATGAATAGAGATAAGTTTCAATAATTAGTCACTTAGTATAAATAAATCAAATCCATTAAAACAACTAATATAATTTCAAAACTTACTATCGCTATTGTTTACATCGCCAAATATCATCAATATCTCGATCTGATCAACATGGACTTATGTATAATTCTTAATTCTTTCCGAGAAAATGGTCGTTATTGATTTCATTGAGGTTTTATTATCGGTACGACTACGATATTTTAATAAAGTCGGATTCTATTCACAAAATTTATAATTAAAGAAACAAGATTTTATTAAGAATTAAAGAAATACAAAAATGCCAACTACATTGTAATGGGTTTTAAGAAAAGATATCCAAATATCTCTATTTAAAAAAGAGGAAAAAAGAGCATATTATAATTCTTTCTTTAAAAGAATCAAATTAATTAATCAATTATAATCGAAAGGAGATGATGGTGTCATCTTCCAACAATGATCATCGAAGAACGTGGCGCAATAAACGAGGTACAAAGATGGATTTTCAATTTCTTGATGATTCTATAAATAGGTAAGATCGTCTAATTACAAATAGTGCGGCAATTTTAGTTTTAAATTAAGCTGAGTTTTACCAATTTCCAAATTAATATATCATCTTCCTCTCAATGATATTTTTTCTTAATTTTTAATTTCTGTTAAAAAAAAAAAATGTCTTTTGAATGTTTGCAGGGAGTTGCTGATGATTATGAAAGGTTATTTGAAAATGACAAAAGTTAT